GCCGCCGGAGCCGCGCCAGCACGTGCGGCTTGCGCGGGGAGCCCCGGGCTGGGCAGCGGAGCCGCGGGGCAGCGCGTCGCTCCCGCCGCCGGAGGCTCGGCCTCCTGCTCGGAGAGGGGCAGCCTTCCCTAGCAGCCCCGCTTCTGCATGGCACGGGGCCTCCATGGGGGCTCCCATGGGGATCAGGGATCACCGGGGCAAACGGGAGGCATCCCGGACTGGGATGGGAGATCCAGCGCCCCGTGCAAGCCTTTACGTGCGGGGTTTGGGTTATTGGCCTCTGCGTATAGGGTGTCAGCGCAGGGCTTTCCAGTCTGAGTTAATGTTTGATGGGCATTGTGCAGATAGTAGGATGCCTCAGGGCTCAGGGACGTTGCCTTCGTCTTGGCAGACGGCTTCCCATGGCTCTCAGTGGGAATTCAGAGGGGGCTTATGTGGTTTTAAGTCTCTCATTGAAATGGGTGCCTAAATGCTTTGTTGGAGAATATTAAGAAATTTTATCAAAAATCTGAATTTCATTCCCAAGTGTATACAGTGCTATTCAAGTGGCTATCTCAGTGTTATCGTGGCAATATTGAATTTCCTTGTTGCTCCACGGAGATTAATAGATTAATCAGCAAAGAATAAGTGCAAAGATTTCATTATCAAAACACTGCGTTATTCTCTTTTCCCACTTTTGCTTTTATTTTGTTTCTGCTCTTTAAGTGCGTGTGGCCTACGTTTAAGCTCCTAACGTGGCATTTTGTCACTGGAGTGAGCTTCACAGTCCATTGTGCTCCTGCTGTCCAGGTGACTCTGTCCTGGGACAGAGGGAGCAATGGAAATCCATACCAGCAGCAGCCCCAGCTGCAGTGAGTGTTTCCAATAAACCAGGTTTCAGGCAGGTTCTGGTTAACCTCTAACATGTAACTGGGTCAGAAAGCAGCCCAAGGAGGATCCAGAAGTGTTTCATAAAAGTCCACTGGTCTCAGGAATGCAGTACTTCCCCATATCTGATTTTTAGTAGTTGATAAATGTTGCAGGGAGCTCCTGGGGATTTCTTAATTTCTGGGGTTTATGTTTTTCTTCATATCACATACCAAGGTTTTGTGGCAGTTTGACATTTCCTGAAGATCTTACTCAGACCAAAAAGAGCTGGTAAAAATGTATTCCAGGTATACAAATTAGTTGTATGAAAATTGCAGCTTTCAAAGCAAATAAATGCAGGAGGTTCTTTTCCAAAATTAAATATGCTGGGGTAAATATCCTTCAGCATGCTGAACCAAGGGGCTCTTGTCTTTAAGAACAAAATCCAGTTTCACTGAGCTGTCTTGAGCTAAATGATTACAAAAATAACACAGAGTAACGTTTTCAGGCAGCAAAGGGTAAAAGGGATATTGAATACTGTGCTATTACTCAGCGTTCTTACGTTTTGAGAGGCAAGAACTGTGTGATGAAAGGCCCTTTTCATACCACATAGAGAAGGCTGTTTTGCAGGTGAACACAAAGATCCAGTATATGTCCATAATTTACTGGTCAAAAAAAAATTCAGTTAGAACATTTTTCTACTGTCTAGACACAACCAAAAAAAAAAAAAAAAAAAAAAAGCCAATGTCATCTAGCAAGCAGACATTTTATGACACTGCGCAGAACTGAGCTGAGCTATCTGGACTTCATGTTTGAGTTTCCTGTGAGATTACAAATACCTTTCGGGTTTCCACAAGCTGTCCAGAACTCATGGATGAGAAAAAGAGAGGAACTGGAGGAATTTCCATACTAAAATCTCAGAAAATCAACTAATCAAAGTAACTAAATTAGTTTGGAGGTGATTTGTGTTTTTTTTTTCCTCCAACTTTTACAGTATTGTTCTGATGAGATTTGGATGAAAAGATTCCTGATTTGTATGCTCATAAAATGAATAAAACGAAGCAGATGCAAAATGTGCATATGTTGCATGTTCTAGACACACACTCTCCTACGCTAGGTGCACTTTATCCTCACTGGGATGGTGACGGGGATCTCGTTTGCCCTGGCACCTCACGAGAGCGTGGGTACACAGGGAGTGCTCACGGGAAGGCTGTTCAGTCCTGGGCTTGGGCAGCCAGTCCATCCTGGCCGATGCGGTGGTTTTATCGACAGTTCTATTCCAGGCTGGTCCCCTTAGAACAGCAGTCCCTTTTAGTAGCGGTTGAGTGGCAGAGTTGGTAAAGAGCTCTCTGGATTCAGTTATTTGAAAGCATATAGGAGCTTACCCACCAGGAAAAAGATTCGCTATCTCTGGGTTAGTAGCGAGTGAAAACACGTTTTTTTGGAGACCCAGAGGGGAGCAGGAGCTAAGATAAGAAGGCTTCTCTGTAACGTTTCTGTTGATTATCTGTACATGGACATGCTGTGTGTTGACTTTAGATAGCCCCCTGCGAGCTGTAGCATCGTAGCAGAGCTGGGAATGCGGGTCCCAAGTAAGTGTCCTCTACTGACTGTGAGCACCCAGCAGCTCTGTTCCAACCTCCTTGGATGGATCCAGCCCTTACAGAACAGCAAGAAGAAATAACTGACTGGCCCAGCTTGATATGATTGTCCAACAGGCTGTTGTTGCAGTCGAGCAGATACCTCAGGCTAAACTCCCAGCAAACGGTGGCAATGATTGCAAAAGAGAGGCTCCACACCACAAGGCAGGAGAATTGCACTAGTAACGTTATATTGCTTTTTAATGGGAAGGATATTGCAGAAATATCTTAAATATTTTTATCTGGAAAGAAAAGCCAGTCTTAACATGAACTATTGCAGCTGTGTCTGTTCTCATGTGGGTTTGTCTGCTACGTTTAGTATCATGTTTAAACTGTTTCAAGACAGTAGCTCCTTTGGTTGTGTTTTTGTCCTGGCTTGAAAACTAAGGGCAGTTCATCTCCCAGTCTGAATTAAAAGGCTGATAGAGACATGACTAAGCCCCTGTGTAAGGCTGGCGCTGTGTACTTTGGCCACCTCTATAGACAATGTTCAAACCTAGAAAGGAGGAATAGAAATGACATCCCGGTCAACCAGTACAAGGTTTAATGGAAGTAATTTCCCCTCTGTGTAGCTCTGCAGACCAGGGTCTTCAGGACTGTAGGAGCAACCATTAATATAAGCAACACTGTTAATCTCATTTCTTTCACATTTACCCTCACCTACTTTCCATAATTTTTCAGAGATTCATACTGAGGTAATAGTGGTGGTGAATGTTCCACAGCTGCCTGTGAAGTGTTAAGTGAACAAACTTTGAGAGGGAGTCTGCAGCGGCGTTCTCAGCATGGCTCACTCAAATACAGATTTGATGATTAATTCAGTTGTAAACATTGCATAGAATATTAATTGATTGATGTTTGCACTGCACCAGAGGAGGTGGAATTATTAGATAAATGGGTTAGATAATGTGTTGCTCAGTTATTAGTGCTTGATGAATGCAAAGGTAAGGTTCAAAAGAAAAGCCTTAGACTCAGGCTTGTCAGAGTTTGGTTGCTCTCTCTGATGGTGACTCCACTATAGCAGCGGTCAAATGCCTTTATGGCTGAATTTTAACATCTTTTAACATACTGGTCTTAATAGATATTATGTCCAAGAGGAAAATTTTGGGAACGTTCTGCATGTTTTCTGGAAACTGAAAGTGCTATGCAAATGTTCCCAGTTGCTCTTGGTGTCTTCAAGTCTCATTAAGACTTGTCTCATCAAGCCTTTGCTCTTTCACATTCAAGCAATATATTCCTATTATTAAATGTGCTTTGATACAATCACTTTGTTTTCCTGCATGTAGACAGCCTAAACTAGAGCACATGTTCCAGCAGATATGTGCCGACTACTTTACATAATCCCAATTAATGTGCCTTCTACTTGGTTGTGCTCTTTAGGCATTCAGGACATTATCTACTTGAAATCTGGGTTCTAGAAGTTGTGAAGAGCATACCTGCGTCATATCCTTGGTGGGAATAAAGCCTTTGTGTAGAGATCGTTACCACCTTCTTAGGTAGCAAAGAAATCTTTACAGTTTTGGCATTTGAAAGAATGTATAAGAAAGATTTAGACCAAGCTGCATTCTTTCTAAGTAACTGAGTTTGCTGTTAGACTGCAATAAACCCTGTGTCTATTTTTGTATGGTAGAACAGGCTTCAAATAGTGATTTTATCAAGGAAGGCTCTCCGAGTCATTGCTCTTGCATTCTTTCCCATTTCACTACATTACAAGCAGCAGGTTTATTCTGTATAATACGAATTCCCCGGTCCCAGGGCAGATCATTTCTTTCTTAACTGGGTTGTAATGGGGAGACTCTTTCCAAGTTTGCTTGGGAGTTGCTTTCCATGAGCTTGTAACTCGCTTAGCCCCTACTTTTCATATATACTAAATTTAATTCGTTAGAAAGAGTCTTACATAGCATGTTTATCCATGATTTAGTGAAAATGTTCTGTCTTTGTTTTGTGCAGGAGTTCTCAAGATGGCAGCAACAGTAGAATTCAACAATGTCCATTCAGTATCGGAAATGCCAGAAGAAGATGGTGCTAAGCAGAGTTTCCATCCCAGAATGTTCTTGGAACCTCAAGAGAAGAAAAGGAGCATGAAGGCACTGGTGGTTAAGCAAGCAAAGAAAACTTGCAGCTGCACTCCAGCCAAAGTTAAAGACTGTGTTTTCAATCTCCTTCCCGTCTTACAGTGGCTTCCCAAATACAAACTGAAGGAGTATCTACTGGGAGACCTAATGTCTGGTCTGATTGTGGGAGTTCTGCTAGTCCCACAGTCAATCGCCTATTCGCTCCTGGCTGGACAGGAGCCTATTTATGGCCTGTATACATCCTTTTTTGCAAGCATTATTTATTTCATATTTGGTACCTCCCGCCACATCTCAGTTGGCATTTTTGGGGTGCTTTGTCTGATGGTGGGACAGGTCGTGGACCGTGAGGTACAGAGAGCTGGCTATGACTTAGAGCCAGCTGCTCTTAGAGTCCATGCAGAAGCAGTAACATACATAAACACCACCAGTTCTCCTGTGAATCAAACATCTCATCATCCATTCTGTGATAAAAGCTGCTATGCAATTACCGTGGGAGCCACGATGACCTTCATAGCTGGTGTTTATCAGGTAAAAAGAGATGGGCAAACAGGTATTCTGCAGAAATAATTCTAATTCTTCTTCAAGTGATTGTCTGTATGAACAGTCTGCTGGGGATGCACGTGTCCTTAATTTGCACCCGAGAGAGTGGACAGGGAGAGGACAAGAGCACTCCAGTTAATTTGGTGTAAGAAACTCCTCTTTCTCCACTCCTTAGATGGTTTCAGCCCTAGTGATTTACTCAGATTGCAAAACATGCATACGGGAGCATCGTGCAGCTTTTAATATCGTTTGAGGCTTGTTAATATGTTATGGACCACAAGGACCATAATGGAGCATTGCTAGACAACACTTGCTGCTCCCATTATATAGCCTAACTCTGCCACGAAACTATTTTTTTTTTTTTCTTGGCTTATACAAGGACTGAATTGGATTGGCATAAATTGTGGTGTGTCAACTTTCAGTTCCTGACTTTAATGATCTGACATTTCTCTTATCAAAAAATAATCTGAACTGCAATACTACCTCCAGTTCCTTTTTATCTGGCATTCTTGCGTTGCACTTGTAAAGCTTGGCTGTGTGCCCACTCAATGCCAGAACAAAGCCATTGTTTGAATAGGAAAATATTGAGGTAATAAAATACATTTGAAATAAAGCTGTTCATTATTACTATATTGAATATATTGTTAAATAATATTTTACCACTCCTTCTGTGTTTACTTCCCAGAATTCACTGCTTGTTTGCTGAAATTAAAGTAGGCATCTATGTTTTTAGAGTGTCATGCATTAACCAGGAGGGATTTAATTTTAACAGTATGGCAGGGCTGTGATATTTCAGTTCAGCAGTTCACATTCATTCGTTTCTACAGTGGCATTTGTAGTGATATTTATTTGGATTGTAGAGGGAAAGGAAACACCTCTGTGATACTCTTAAAACACTATTTTTTTGATCCACCTGAGACTTTGTCTTGCCCTGCAAGTTGGCAGTGAGTAAATTCTGTTATATTCAGATAAATTTAGTTATATATATATAACCAAATAGTGTATACATGTGTGTGTGTGTGTGTGTACCAGTTACAGGAACTAGAAACTAATATTTACAGTTGAACCAATGAGCAAACTATAAATAGTAGTTCAGAGTGTGAAACCTTTTAAAGGGCCTGCCCTGCATTAGAAGCACATTTAAGTTTGATGAATCAGTAACAGCTGGAAGCTGCAGCTTTTCAATGCTCAGACCAAAAGACTTTATGCGTTTTTTTTTTTAATCCCACCTCCGTTACGGCCTCACAATGATGATATCTGTAAGATTTGTATTGTAATCCATTGTGTGGTTGATTCCTTTCAGGTGGCCATGGGCTTCTTTCAAGTGGGCTTTGTCTCAGTGTACCTCTCCGATTCACTGCTCAGCGGATTTGTCACAGGTGCCTCCTTTACCATCCTAACCTCACAAGCCAAGTATCTCCTGGGCCTAGACATTCCCCGGAGCAATGGCATCGGCTCCTTTGTAACCACATGGATAAACATCTTCAGAAACATACATAGGACCAACTTCTGTGATCTCATCACCAGCCTCTTGTGCTTTCTTGTTCTCATCCCATCCAAAGAGCTTAACGAACACTTTAAGTCCAGGCTCAAGGCTCCAATACCAGTTGAATTAGCTGTGATTGTGGTAGCTACTTTGACGTCTCACTTTGGGAAGCTAAGAGAGAATTATGGCTCAAGTGTTGCTGGACACATCCCAACAGGCTTTCTCCCTCCTCGTCCTCCAGACTGGAACCTGATTCCTAGCGTGGCTTTGGATGCTCTCCCCATAGCTATTATTGGCTTTGCCATCACTGTCTCCCTCTCAGAGATGTTTGCCAAGAAGCATGGTTACACTGTGAAGGCCAATCAAGAGATGTATGCCATTGGCTTCTGCAACATCATTCCCTCCTTCTTCCATTGCTTTACAACAAGTGCAGCTCTTGCCAAGACTCTTGTCAAAGAGTCCACAGGATGTAGGACACAAGTATCTGGCCTGTTGACTGCCTTGGTCATCCTATTAGTCCTTCTTGTGATTGCACCTCTGTTTTATTCCCTTCAGAAATGTGTCCTTGCTGTCATAACCATTGTGAACCTCAGAGGAGCCCTGCGGAAGTTCAAGGACCTACCCAAAATGTGGCATTTGAGCAAAGTGGACACAGTGATCTGGCTAGTTACAATGGCATCCTCAGCACTCATCAGTACTGAGATTGGGCTTTTGGTTGGCGTTTGCTTCTCTATGCTCTGTGTCATTTTTCGAACTCAGAGGCCAGAGGCACCGCTGCTCGGCTGGGTGGCAGAGTCTGAAACATATGAATCCCTGTCTGCCTACAAGAACTTGCAAACCAAGCCGGGCGTCATGGTGTTCCGTTTTGAAGCGCCCCTGTACTACATCAACAAAGAATGCTTTAAATCCACCTTGTACAAGCAAACTGGGGTCAACCCAGTCTGGGTGAAGGCAGCAAAGAAGAAGGCTGCGAAGAGGATGGTTAGAGAGAAAGAGGTGGATTCCAGGGGCAAACTGACCAGCATCTCGATGGAACTTGTGCCTGAACCCCTGGGGTTTCACACGATAGTGATTGACTGCTGTGCAATGCAGTTCCTGGACACAGCCGGAATCCGTGCGCTCAAAGAGGTCTGCAAGGACTACGGAGAGATAGAGGTCCAGGTGCTACTGGCCCAGTGCAACCCTTCTGTGAGGAGCTCCCTCATCCGGGGAGAGTTCTTCAAGGAAGGGGAGGACCACCTTCTCTTCCACAGCGTGCACCAGGCTGTGGACTTTGCATTGGGCGCATGGGAGCACAACAGGAGCTGTGCTTCTAAAAACTAGTTGGGGGGTGGCAGCAATCTTGAACAGGTCACCCCACACTGTGAGCGTGGGTTGGTATATTTATATGTGCCTTTTACATGCACTCAGATAGATGAAAAGAGGCAAGCTGGTTGTTAATGCATTGGGTACTACCAGCGTGTTCTGATGCTTTAATTTGCCTGACCAATGATTCAGTAAGTGGTACTAAATGAAGGAAACTCTTAACTTGATCGTGGTCTATCTGGAAAACTAGGAGTTTACAAATAGATATGTTCATCTCACATCTTATCTCATTTTTCTTCTCATTTCTCATCTCATTTCTCTTCTCTCTTGAACTTTCCATGTCCCTGCTGCCCCCTGATTTTAGACCTGCCCCCTCATCGACACTGAGGTCTTTGTCACAACCCTATCTTTCTGCGGGGGACTTGGTTTTGATACTATCCTTCTTTCCCAGTGAACTGAAGGATATGCGGCCGTCCCTTTGCTGTCCCTAGTTCTGTCGATGTGCTGCCACGTGCTCACACCCACATGTTATCAAAGGAATGACTGACAGGAACTGTTTGCTCTGGAGTGATTAGTTAGTGATTTTATTTCTAAGAACAGCTTGTAACCACCTGTCCCTGCTAGATACCTTGTCTTTAACAGTACAGCCCATGGAGGCGTGCTTATCTGATTTCTGTGTGGGTTTTTACATGCCGGGAAAGTTTGCCTCTTTAGCTTGAATCTCCTCGGATAATCTGGACTGATTTTTATTCAGAAATGATTTAGAAATCTGGTTCATGGTTAATCATCTGTTTTCCTAATATTTAGGATCTCATCAAAATGAAATGGGCTGTCCAGCCTCTCTCTGAATTTGTCAATGTTGCAGAGATTTCATGTGTTGTTGAATACAAATGTTATTGAATCTAGAGCCTTTACACGTGCCTGGGCATGGACTTTATGTAATGGGAACGGACAGGCCAAGAAATACAGGCAGTAGAAAGAGAGAGAAAAATTTTCAACTGAAAGTTGTTTCCTTATATTAGTGTAAATAGAATTTGCTACCTTGTTTTTAAATTATCCGGAACAATGAAGAATGCCCATTTTTCCTGTGAAAGTACAAGCACTTATTAGGGAAAGATTCTATTTTCTAATGGCAACAGCATACAATTATGAAGGCAGAATTGAAGGACTAATTTTTTTTTACTAAGTACTAGCTATATGTTGCTCACAGTATGTGCTTGGAAGATGATACTTCTCCCAGAGGAATTTACAGTCTGACTTGCCAATTCTTCATGGCTTTTAAAAGGGAAAAGATGTGTCATGAAACATTTTCTAAATAGAGTTATATTTTGGGGAGTGTTTTGTTTGTTGTTTTTTCTAGGATTGGTAGATTTTCCCGACTTTCTATGAAAGCTAAAATTGTCATGCGTGATTTCACTTTCAGCGTTAGGACCTCAAGAGGAGCAATAAACAGCAAAAAGACTAATACCAGGACTTGGCAATCTCTATATGTTAGCTTGAAATGACTACATTTTCTAGGGTAAAATAGAAGCAAACAGAAGAAATACTGTGTGGCAGGGAGGGTGGCTGTAGCAAATACTAAGCAGATAATTGAGACGTCCTGAATTATGTCAATTATGTTGGCTCTTTGCAAGAGGAAGTGACGGATCTCCAAATATCAGAAAAAAAGTGAAGCTTCCACACAACGTTCAGAAACCTAAATATTTTTCTTTCTCAGCCTGAAGACATGTTTGCACAAGGAAATGAATCTAAAATAGCCACTGCTGATTTTTTTTTCCCCTTTCTGCAATAACTTGCATGCCAACTTTTTCATTCTGTGCTAATGCAGTTTGTCTAATTGTAATTACCGGTTTAGCATTACAAAGTGGATTAACCTAAGCCATACAAAAGCAGCTAGTGTGTTTAAGAATGCCTACACAGGGAGTGAATAGCAGATAGCAGGATTTTAGTCCTCACCCAGTTTGTTTTGTGTTTGATTCCCATTCATAGCCCCTGGGCCAATGTCAAGAGAGAGGAGTGAGAGCTTGGCAGCCGGGACTGCCGGGCTCCTGCTTCGGGAAGCTGCGGGTGGCTGCTGGTCACCGCTGCCCTGCTCCTGGCAGCAGCAGAGAAGGCAGATACCCACACACGGGAGTTCAGTGGTAGGTGGTGCCGGGACCTGGAGGAATCGCCTTTCGACAGGTTTGTTCACAGTACCAAAAGGCATCACTAGAAGTTAAATTTTAAACAAGAGCCTGTATATCATTTTATACACTGATTTTAGCAGCAATACTTTTCCAGAGAGCAGAGTTGTGCTAGGTGCAGTTTCTCACCCCCTTGCCAGCTCAGCCCCTCTGTCACAGCTCAGACCCAGAGAGCTGAGAGGGAGTGTGAGAGGAAGGAGGAGCAGGAGACTTCCCAGGCAGGTCAGCAGGGGCGGACAGAAACAAAGTAGAATTGCCTGGGGTGATTCTTTCCCCTTTGCATTCAAGACGTTTTTCTTTTTTCCAGCACTCTTTATTTACACATTGTCCAACAGGAGATTCTTTGCCCTGTGAGCTTGTGCAGCCAAATTCTAGATGGAAACAGTAATCATTTGTCAAACACCATTTTTTCAAATCCAGAGTATGAAGGTAGAGTTGGCAATGTTAATTCTAAGAGATAGAGGCTTTCCACAGCTGGCAGGGTGCTTGCATGTACCTCTTGGGTATTTGCATAAAAGCTCTCCATAACAGTCATGAATTGGATATCAAAGAATTAATTTAGATCACGGTTAAAAAGATGCATGGTAATGATTTATGTTTAGCTAGCACGCATCTCACTTTGCCACTGTGCTATTTGCACAGTGACTAACGGCAATTTATCTTCCGAATTCTATTTCAAACAAAGTACAAAAAAAAAGACAGATTAAAATGTAACAGCAAGAGCAGCCAGCCAACCAAAAGATCAACTTTTTATATTTCTACTTAGTATAATATCCAGAAGTCATGGCTTATATTCTATATTAATGCACAGAGCCTCAGGTAGACGGTAGCAGAAATAAATACCAGTTGCTGGATCATTGAGTACACTAGTCCTTTGGCATTAACTAAAGATTAGAGTTTATCATGTTTGGAATCTCTTAAAGTAGTGTTTTTTCAGGCTTCTTCCTTATAGGCCCTGTACTAATTTTTTATGAGAGGCATGAATCTAAGCAAGTTGGAGAGGAACCATCTATTGATAGGAAACGTATTCTTTGGCATATGTTTTATGGACCCTTTAGAAATAATCCAATTTCACATTCAGGATTCAAGGATCACATGTTGTAAATTGGTTTGCTAAAGAATTGTTTTATAAATACATTTCAGTTTTTTATTTATATTTTTTGCTGATTGTATGATATATGCAGTAGTTATATGTGATGTGCCTTTGTGATGTGCCTGTTTCTGCTCTGCAAAGAACTCTTCTCCTTTCTGTAGTTCTAAGAGTACCAGATTTCAAAAGGGAATTGTGCCATAGTCCTGTCTTCTAGCCAACCACAGAGCTTAATTTGTGATCTATAGAAAGATGAAACCCCCGTGTTCATTTCTGTAAGCATATGGGAATATCTGTATGACAAAAACAGTGACATTAATCCCAAATGCAGCCTTCAGAACCTGCAGAGCAATCTGCAGACCAGAGTGGCAGATTGTATAAACTAGTTGAACTCCATTGGCTCTGTTCCCAAGTGTCCTAATCGGGCAATTATCAGTCTAAATGAGGAATTAATAGATCATTAGTACATTCATTAATGATAACAACACAACATTATGGAGATGAATACTCAGTCTCAGTTATACTCTTGCCAAATGTCAGTCACACTTTTTACTTTTATTGCTGCTATATATAGTAGTTTCAATTGCTCCTAATGTGGCAATTGCATTAATAAATGATTGACTTGTGTGAATGTTTTCACACTGAAATAGTTTTCAGTCCATTTTATAGAACAGGGAAATGAACTAGGGTGGTGTACACAGTATTTGTTTGGGGTATCGTAAACTTCACCTTTCTACTCTTTTGTGGTCCTCATTTCCTTGTAAATCATTGCAGCTCCCGCTCCTTTTCTCTAAAATGCTGCGTGAGCATTAAGAAGTCAACCCACTTTGACACTTGCTTCTGTGTTTTGCTGTAACTAGCATTGCATATGATTGACTGTAAACAGAGAAATATTACCTTTGTACATAGTGCTATTACCTGTGACCTGCTACTCAGTTTTGATGCCAAATCTGGTAAAAGCTAAAACGCTTTTAACAAAGAATAACCAACCCAAGTGCACTCCGGGTTGTGAGGCTGGGGCAAGGGGATTTGTGGCAGCTGCAAAGGGGGGAACCTGTGTGTGCAACCCTCGTGGGAGAGGCAGGCCCTGCAGCCTAAGCAAAGCACGTTGAATGTGCAAGGGTTTGGGAAGAAGGACAAGCAATGCCTTCCAGGAAAAATAAGATAATATAGAGATGTCTTTATTACAAGGACACTACGTATACACAATTCTGTGCCTTTTCCACAAGGAGTGTCCATGGGGACCTGGTTCCTGTTTGGTGCTGCTGTAAGTCAATGTTCAATGCTAAATATAGACAGGATTTCTGTTTTCATGCTTATTTGTGTATGATTTAATCTGATTCTGGACTTGGCTCTCTTATCCTGGATAGAATAGCTTCCATTACTTCTGCAGTCATTCCCTTCCTGGATATAGCAGTGAACACACAGATTCTGTTCTCTCTCGAGAAAGCAACCAGCAGTTCCTGCATCTCTACCAGCTTCTGCTGACTTGTGCCAAATGGGTCTGAGGTGCAGAGTCAGAATAGAGCATCCGTGTGAGCATCCTGGCTGTGGCACTGGGATTTTGAGTTAGTTGATACCCACAGCCTCCCACAGCATTGTGCTGAGATCAGCTGTGAACTTGTGTCCGTGCTGCATCCTTCATCTCCATTGCTGTGCAGCCTTCCATGGTGTGGGCCAGGCTTTCTGTGACCAAACCTGACTTGAGAAAACCAGCAAAACTGCACATCTCCTTGGGCTTAGTTCCTCGACTTTCACCCRAGGACAGTCTCGCGCTTAGTTCTCTGCCATGAGCAGCAGTGCTGTTGGTGCTAAGAGCTTTTAAATAGGTTGGAGCGGAGTCATCCCTGCGTTCTCAGGGTGATGCCCCTTTCAGAAACGGTGCAGGAGCTCCCAGGCCGACCTCGCGCTGAGCCACAGCGGTGCAGAGCTCGCCTGGACTCTCTGCTGGCCCTCAGTCCCTCTGTGCTGTCACAGGGGCCTGGCTAGCCAGCAGGAGAGCACTGGAGTAGAAGATCATAGACACTGAAGCAAGAGGAGATCCTACTAGTCAGGGTGAAAATACGTACTATTTATTCAGGCAAATAGCAGATATTTTCTTCTGTGTGTTCTCCCCACACACACTCTTTGGGAAAATGATTTAGTGACTGAGATGATCAACAATTTTTTTTTTTAACTAACATAATTAAACTAATTAAGCTGGGATGCAGATAGGAGCCATCTATTGCTAGTGCAACGCAAGGTGCTTTATATTTGTGTAGCTTATTTGCTTTGTAGAATCTCAGTCTAGGATACCATTAGAAGACTTTTCTATTGATATAACTGTCCACACTCGAAGAGTTTTGTGTTTTTACTATGCTGGCCTAGTTAAGGGGGAGAGTGCCTTTAGTGCAGGCAAGGCAGGGTGCCTTTGCACTGTGAATAAACTTGTTAAGTTACTTGTACTTGGTTATCCAGTTTGTAAGCCCTTGTATGATCAACTGCTTGTATAAAAAAAACTGCCTGATCTTTTCTCTTCTAATCAAATTCCACCCGAACTGGAACAAATTTTTAAGTCTTGCTTTATTTTTTTAAGATCTTTTACAGTGCTAGAATCGAGGCCTCTGGTTAGGTAATATAGCATATATTTAAAACATATATATATTTAGTACATGGTGTGATTAGTGCCTTTCTGTTTTATTTCCTAAAGATGGTAGTACCTAAGGTATGTTGCTGTTTTTCTAATGCACAAATATTGAAACTATTGCAGCATTTGATGGCAAGTCAAATCTCTAAGAGTAAATTTGCTGCCAAAAGTATTTGAACTCCAGATCTATCCAGCTCTGCAAGCACTTAATTCTTAGCTGGGTTCCAGAATCATTTCAGGAGCCCACAGGAAGATAGGAGAATAAACATTTTGCTGAACTTGGGTCCAAGTTTTTAATGTTTAATCTATGACTTTAGAAAGAAAATTTTAATGTGTATCTAAAATGCAGCTGCAACATAGTTAAAGAGAGGTAAAACTTCACTTCGGGAAAGCATCACTTGCACTTGAAATTTCACGTTGGAAATAAATGATTTTAGTTCATCAGCCTCTTGAGTCATTCACTTATCTCTGGTATTTTGGTATGTTTGGGGTATGATTTTTGAACTATTTTAAATTCTAAACAATTAGGAAGTAATATTTATGACATTATTTTGCAGAAAAAAATAAAAAAGGCAATTTTTGCATAGAGTAGACTTTGCAAGCTGGAAAACCAGTCTAAGCAAACAGAACCTCAGAAGTGGAATGGATCACATTGGCAGGCTGACTGGACACACTTGCAAAGCAGTTTATTTGAATGAAGCTTGAAAATCATGTATATTCAAAATTCAAATGTATTCACTTTTACTTTTTTTTTTTTTTTTTTTTTTTTCTTACCATGGTTATTATAAATGTGAAGGATCCGATGAGGTATCGTACTTGGTGCAAGTCAAAGGGGGAATTCAGAGTGATGGGAAAGCTGTCGCACTCTGTGGTTTCTCTGCGTGCCGCAATGGTGTTTGTTAACAGGCTTTGCCTTGTGAAGGGAATGAGAAGAGCTGCATTGCTCAGCCTCAGAGTGCTGCGTGAACAGATCAAAAGTTTCTGACATAAGAGACGTATTTTGTGAGTCTTCTAATTAATTCGTACCATAAAAACCCAACTATGGAGTATATTCTCTACATATTCTCACCTTGCCTTTACAGCATCTCCTTATGTTAAATCTCTACCAATTGTTGCTTTTAAATGCTAACGTGCCTTATTGTCATTTTAGAGGATTTGTTAGCACAAGATTTTTCTCTTTAATGTGGTGAAATCTTCGTGATTTCTTTTGCCACCAATAAAAGATGATATTTCTGTTTTTCTTTTCTGATTTTGGACATAAGCTTGAGGCCTTAGAAGATACTGCCAGTGTGTAAATTAAACAACAAGAACAACAAAAAAATGCATGTTTGAAGAGTAATTTCTTAGTTACTGTGGTCTTTTTTGGTTGGTTGGTTGTTTTATTTTGTTTTTGACAGCTGCATTCTGGTTTGCTGAGGTAGCACATGATGTTCCCCGGCACAGTGTTTGATGCACATGCAGGCACATACAGAGATTTCTTGCAAACATGGAACAAGGCATTGACTGCCTCCTCCTCACTTCCTTACTGCCTGGAACTAGGCTACAGATTGTCCGTGAAGAGAGGCGGTCAGTAACAAGACGTGGTGACAACAATGTGCCCAAGGGGCTGCCTCTCCTGCGGGCCTGCTTTGGAGTCCCCAGCTGCAAGCTGGGGCCAGGCAGTGGCATCACGTTCCCTGCGCTTTCAAATACGTGTGCTCACAGCACACTATTACATATGCACCCTTAGCGAACTGCTGCAGTGTATTTCAGTTTAATTTCCGTTTGGCAGATATGGAAATTGAGACATAGCAGGTTAAATGACTTGATTGGTCTTGATCAGCAGGACGGAGAGCAAAAAATAGACCAGCTCTGGGTGCAATTTTGGGCACTGTAAGTGTTATCTATGCTTACATACCCTTGGGATACACAAGAGATTTTCTTGATCCAGCATGAGTCAGCTTTTAAGTGCAGATGCCTTTTACCTTAGGAGACCTCAGAGCACACACTAATTCCTGCGCTGGTGCCAGCAGAATGACAGGAGTGTTCAATTACAGAGGATGCCAGCTGGATCTTTCTGCTCTCATGAAAAGCACAGCCATTCCCTTTAGCAGAGTTAGCTCTGATTCCCACTAATAGGTAGCTAAGATGGTGGAGTCTCAACCAGTAGCCCCGTTCCTTGGTGCACCTCAAGATCTTATCTGCAGGCAGCTGCAATTCTCTCTTGCGCAAGGTCAGATGCGCCAGCCCGGCCCGGTTGGGACCTGCCTGCTGGAGGCTGCGTGGCCAGGGCTGTGCCCGCAGGACGGGGAGGGCACCCGCTCCTTGCAAACCTCCCAGCTCCTGGTAAGCAATAGGCTGGAAATTTCCTGAGCACACAAACAGTGTCACCTTTTACCAGCACTTTGTGAAGCCACTTAATCTCTTAAACCCTTTGATTCGCACACATCCTGGGGCGATAGGTTCTACAGAATTTATACAGTGTGGGAAAGATTTTGATTTTGGTTGAAACTTAATAGCAGATACAATCTTGCCATAGGGCAGGTTTTTGAAGTGTCATCATTCCTGTTTCTCTCCTTGGCTCCTTCACTATCTACTGGAGCATTTTGCTTTCACAAGACATTGAGCCGTGAACAATTTGGGGTCCCTCTCCACAGTTTATGCTCTTCTGCCTTGATGTGTGATTAGCTAGAGCTGAATGGCTGATCTGTCTCTGCTTCTGAGCCAGCTTGGGAACCAGCCAGAGACCTCTGCCCAGCTCCGTGGCTGCTGCAATGGGGAGAAAGCCGTGTTAACTGCAAAGAGGGTGACCTGATCAGCCAGCCAACAACTACAGGGGGAAGCAGCATCCAGTCAGCACAGTCTCAGGACYGTGGAGGGCTCGGACGTAATGTGAGTAAGTCAAGCCTGAAATGATGCAAAGCAGCCCGGGCTGAATGCCAATCAGTATAAAGCACAAATGTATCTCCCCATTTTTAGTCTATTGTAATTCATCTGGAATCAATTTAATCCATTTTCAGAGCCATTATAGAATTTTAAATTGTTCGCCTGATAATTTGAAAAGGGTCATGAGCGCCGAGCATTTGTCATGTGGGAAAAAGCATGAAAACAATAATCCCCTGCAAAAGTTAGCAAGGAATCACCGTCGTTCCTTTACGAGTAGAAAATGCTCCTCAAATCCTCAGGCTGATGTACTCTGAAGTACTCAGGCTGCCTTCTTCCATATCTAAAAGAGGGCTGTGCTGGGGCTGGTAGCAGGACATTTACAGGATGGACTCCAAGTGGCATGTCCTCAATAACTGGAGGGCTGGTGTGGCAAGTTTGACATCTGCAGCCACTCCATAGCTGCATAGATCTTCTATTCCTATGCTGATTCTCTTTCCAGGAATACATCTTCCATCTTATATCTTTGAAAATACACTATAAAATATTCCCTATGCATCTGTCTGTAGCCCATGTTGGGAATAAGCAGTAGCTTGAATAGAGCTCTTCAGGGTTATTTATTTGCAGGTTTTGTTGGTTCTTCACAACCTTTAAAGCACAGTGACTGCACTGACAGGTACGTTCAAGGGGAGAGTGATGCTTTTGGCCTTGCAGTGTTTATGTCCAGCGAGGATTTATCTTTGTCTTGCATTCTCTGCTGTGACACCCTGCACGTTATCATGAACTGCCCTACAGAATAACAAGAGGCTGAAAAAGCTTTTACTATCTGGGATGACTTAATGTAGGATTTTCAGGTTTTCTGGTGTCCTTTTGTGAAAATGTGGGTAAGTTCTTTTCAAGAGAGAGGAGCCTAGGAAAGGCTCTGTCGAGCCCCTTTGTCTGCAGGCATTTTTGCTGCAGTTTACCATATCTCAGCAGTGGAAACAACTATGGGATTGTCTCCTTTTCTTTGTTTTTCTCTAAAAAAATGATGCTTTGCAGATGTTGATGTCTTGACAACTCTTTCTAACTGGAACTGAACCAGCAGCCATCCAAAATGACAGTCTGAAATCCAAGAGGGGAAGGAAAAGCAGCTCTCACAGATTTCTGGCACCATTACCTAGCCTTCTTGACATTTTTTAAAAAGAGATGACATGTTATTTAAATAACCCTGGAGTAGCAGGCACACTCATGACTGAGRCGGGCTGGTCCATGTGTGGAGCCAAGGCATGCAGGATGTGACTCGAATAGGTTCCAGGAGCAATGTAGTCATAAGTCAAATCAAACAAAAACTCCTTGAGTAGTGCCAGTTTGTACTGCTCCAAAAAAAAATTACTATATTTACTAAGATGCCCATTAGTCCCATTAAACACAAGCTACTCATTGACACAGCAGTACCGAAATGAACTCACTGTGTTTATCCATTGCAACAGGCCTAGGTAGAAAAGGTCAAGAACAAATGTTGACCCAGACCGTTTCATCATAACTTTTTGTACTGCAGAATAGGATAACATGTCACCAACTCACTGTAAGAATGAGTCCACTACTGCATTTTCATCTGACTTAGAACTTACATTTTCATGTGTTATTTTAGCTGGTTGCAATGGCTGTTGCATAGATTGATACTACATTGTTCTTATACTGATTTCAGGGTTTTGTGCTTTCTGCTTCCCTTAAAAACAGAGGGATGTCTTGTCTACACTTCCATTGTTGAAGTTAATGCTCACCAACACCCAACCTTTCCCAAAGCAGAGTTAAACAGTTAGTGAGTTTATGATAGCAATAAAGGCCAGCCTTAAAAGATGCTTTTGAAAACAAACATCTAATTTTACTCTTTTAACTACAGTGACCTTGTGTTTGGAAGGCATTGCACTCATAGCCAGTTCAAGGTCACATGAAGTTCTGTTGTAGGTTGCTTTTTTTAAACCTATATATTTTCTAGAGCTAATGTAAAATGTTTTTAGTTTATACCACTCTTACCTCACCTCATATAAAGCTAGTGATTTTAGGATGTGCATAGTATTCAGTGCAAGGAAGTATATATCCTTGCTGCCAGGGTGGAATATGAAGTGATCTCAGTGCCTACTGACTATTCTTCCACTGTGAATAAGACCAAGCAAAAGTTGTTTTAGAATGAAGGCCTTCAGTTTCAAGGAGGTCAGTGTTGAGAGCCTATTGGCACAGTAAAACCAGCAGGATCAAAGCACCCAAGACTTAATTGCAGGACAAGTTTGGAAAGTTGTCATTTTAAAGTTGAGGATACAAAAATAACTGGGAATTTGCTCCCAAGAAAGGGAAAAGGTAATGAAGGCTTTAAGCTTAGTTAGAAGGATATTCACATTAAAAAGGATGACAGAGGAAACAAGAAGACTACAAGCAGTGGAAAAAGAACTATCCACAAAGAAAGTTATGCCTGTGAGAGATGAAATGAAGGCTTACCAGCCAAGCCAAGTGGTAGAATAAATCATAATAGACAAAAAAAAAAATCACTACATAAAGGAAAATGGATCTTGGAAGAAGAAGAACCATCAAATAGTGAAAGCAAAGTCGAAATTGAAGGTAGTCTAGATACTGTCTCAAATGGAAAGATTGCTGAGTTTCATTTTCATGATAGATAATAAGGCTGAACACTTTGAGTGATAAAATTGTAGACATAGAATTGGAAATGACTACTTCCTAAATAAGATTGAAAATAGAAGAAGAAATTGTGCTATGTTTCATCCCTGAAAGCAAATAGACTTAAAAGACCATCCTCGCTTAACCACCAGTTACTCATTGGCTGAATTTTCAAGGAGAAAGTGGAAGTTTTGTTCCCTTACTAAGGAAGAAGATGGAAAAGAGAATTAGCAAATAGAGATAACATCAGACAGGCCAAGATACAAAATGAGGTATGACTAGCAAGAAATATAAAGCATATGAAAAGGATATCAGGAATCAAAAGGCTAAGGAAAGAGCTAGTCTACTAATGAAAGAAGGATATGGAAAGAGGAACTATCAGCAGACAGTCCTGAGAAGATATGAACTGTAGAGAAATGGCAGAGAAAGAGTATAAATTGATAAACACACTGAACACCTGTCTTCCCTATGACATATTCTCATTTATTTTCCTGCTGCCAGAAAGCATTGATGTTTCTTATTCATTTACTTCTAATTACTGAGATGTTCTTCCACTGATGAGATAAATGCAATTCAAGTGGCATATCTCCTCCTCCTCCTCTTTTCTCAGTGTCTCCCCAGCATCTGGATCAAAGACTTGTGCAAATGTCTTCTCTCCTTACCCCACATCATTTCTCCCTACCCTATAGGCTCCAAGTCCCCTTCCCAAGCCCAGAGCAAAGTCAGTGACAGAAAGAGAAGCAGAAACCAAGCTGTTTGACTGCCAGGCTCTTGTCCTGCTCCTTTGGACAACAGGTCATCACACCAATATTGCCGGTCATTGGATGAGAACGAAACAATGGAGAATGAGATGAAAATGTGCTGAGAGATCTAATGTAGGTAGCTGGCAGACAGCACAGGAGAAGTTTAGTTATTGCCACTATTTGAGGCTCTTGTTTCATGGTAATGAGGTACTACATCTTTTTCTGGATTCTATTACAATAGCTCACCTTTACTTATAAAAGAAATAACAGCCTACACTTTACTGAGCTGTGCTTACTTCTGCAAAGCAAAATCCCCTTTTACTTGTACTATGGTGTCTATAAGGCACAAGTAAAATGAGGATTGTGCAGACCTTGCACACACCAAACTCTCTCCATCACTAACTGGAAATAACCCGTGTCATCACAGCTCTACTTTCAGTGCAAACTTCCTTGAACARAACATTTCTGAAGCAAGAAATAATTGGGTCTGTGCCAAGGTAGGAATGTGGTCTGGCATGGCAGAGGTGGAACTCCTCAGAGATGGTCTAGGACAGACTTGCACTGTTCAGCTACGCAGCAAAGTGAGTAGTTTGGAAGTATCTGGTAGGAACAGACTGGTAGGAAAGCTACCAGGAAAGAAAAGCACTTTAAGCACTTTTGARACAATTTAGACAAAGTCTTGCCCCGAGCAGATCAACAACTGTAAGGGGAAAAGGGCAGAAGGACTTGGTTGAGGGTACTTAGTTCATGGAGGAGTGCTGCAATTATCACATGCGGGAAGGTTTTGTTCATTATTCCTCTTGTTTAGCAAACAYATCTCCAGCTACCAGCAATACTGTTATCTGACAAGAGGACTTATCTGAACCCCTTCAGTCATTCTTAATGGACAGAACAAGTTTTCATCAAAAATACCTACTCAGAATTATGTTTATTTTCAAAATACAGCCATATTTGGCTGTTTGCACTGTCTCATCAGCTGGAGCGAGATAAAAGGACCAATTGTTCGGCTGGACAATTCAGCTCTCTCCAGAGAGAAGCGACATTAATCCAGAAGGTTTGCAAAGGAAACAGGTTTGCAATTTTTCATCTCGTGCTTTCTCTTCTCGATGTCCATTGAGGAGACAGGTTAGTCAGCAGGTGAGAAACTCCAAATATTTTCTGAGGGACTCAAAGAAGGGGCACAGTGGATCCTCCTCTGCTCCACGCAGTCAGAGTTAGGAGCCCTGGGTTGGAACCAGCAATGAGAGAGGAGGGAAGGGAATTTCACATTATCCTGGTTCCCCTTCCAAACTGCAGCCAGGATAGGTCTCCTTCAGGAGACACTGAATGCTTCTCTTTGTAGAGGGTTTGGTTTTGACAGAAAGCTATGTTTTGTTGCAATTTCATTTTGAATGAAAAATCTGGAGTAGCCTGAGAAGTATATATGTTATCTAATCAGCTAAAAAAAATGCATGCATTCATCATTCATTCTATAAATATCAACCTTGAAGCTGTTTGAAGTGAGGCAGCAGTACAGCAATATAACTCTCTTTTTCTMTTTTACTCCATGCTTTCCTGAGAAGGTGGCTTTCCCGATAATTTTCCGGGAGCCAGAGGCATCAAATAACAGCTGGTAACTGCATTGTTTTCAGCCTCGATCGTTTAGGGCAGCTTCAAAATGTGATGGGCTTTGAGAAAGCACAGAAATACGATTTGGTGAGCTATAATTTGGTGATATGATTCTAAGGAATCTCCCAAGGTAACATGATTCCAGGTCTCGTGAATGATTTTAATCATTTCTGATCAATAAGACAGAATCATTGAAAGGGCTGCTGTTTACCTGGCATCACAATACTTAGTTTTCTTGAAATTATTCCTGCATTTCTGTCATCTCACTAGTAAGTCTTGATTCATAGCATTGTCATACACTCTGCATTTCTGTCCTTATCATAAAAATTCATTATTCAATCAAGATAGCTCAGTCCTGTAAAAAAGCTAATAGTTACAGCACAAATAATGAATAGCACAAAGATGGCAAAATTACGAAGGTCATTTGTCAATACTGTTATTAAAAGTGATACCATCAGAATTCAGCTCTGATTTAACAGTGATATGCCTAAATAGAGACACAAAATATCAAAGAATGTAGAAACTGGAATTCCCTTTTTCTGAGGGAAAGCTCTGTGATTTCAAAATTAAATTGGTTTTAAATCAAAACAAAAAACACCTTGATTTTTCTTTTTCAGTTTAATGGTGGGACAAAGAGAACAGAAGAAGGGAAATGGGTAGGCTTAGTGGAAAACCTTTCTTTGCAGCCTGATATTTTTAATGCATATTTCAAAATTTTAAAGGAAAAAATAATTTGCAAGTAGCCTGATTTACCCATGTGTTATATTCCTAGAACACTGCATGGAATATTTCATCATTCTCAAAATAGCTCTTATCTAAGTGCAGGTGTCACCAAGACATGCAGGATTTCTCAAGAAGTTTCATTTTCAGTGAAGTAATATTTTCTGATCCCAGAAGAGTCTGCTGTCCTATTGAAGTCAAGGGGCACGGTATTCTCTGTAGATCTGTCCCCAGTGTTGGCATCTGTGGCAGTGAGAGTGCATTATAAACCACAGTCATTCAGGACAGTGGCTAATCAGGTCCATAACAATAACAAACAAATCAATTGGTATGGCAGGAAGGCTTGATTTGTCTGAGGCTGTTTGCCTTCCGCTATTTATCTATGCGATCTGCATGGGCCCTGAAGCTAAGCAAAGCACATTATGTACTTGAACACAACACTTCATTGGCATGCCTGCTCTTCTGTCTTCAGTGCAGATCCCACTGCAATGGAGGACACATCAATGGAGGACAATGCAATGGAGGACACATCAAGTCAGAAGTCAGGACAGAGCAAAGATACACAGAGCAATCTCTCACCTGAAGAGTCTCCTGTCCATTTTATACACACCAGGTTGGAGGAATATGAGCCTGTGGACCTCAGCACCCGGGATCTCATCCTAAAGAAAGCCAAGAAGGTCTGCCTATGCAGTCATCAATCTATCATTACCTTCTTCTGCCACCTGTTTCCAGTGTTGGATTGGCTTCCACGTTACAATGTCAAGACACAGCTGCTTGGGGATGTCATATCTGGGCTGCTGGTGGGGATAGTTGCCATTCCTCAGTCCATCTCGTAYTCCCTCTTAGCGAACCAGGATCCCATCTACGGAATCTACACCAACTTCTTCTGCAATATCATCTACTTTGCTATGGCCACTTCACGCCATAACTTCGTCGGCTCCTTTGGTGTCCTGTGCCTCATGATTGGGCAGTCTGTGAACCGGCACCTTCAGCTAGCAGGGTACAGTGATGACAGTGATGGCTCATCACTGATGGGGAATTCCTCCTTCTCCACTAATGGGACAGAAGCCTGTGACAGAAGYTGCTACGCCATTACAGTGGCCCTTACCTTAAGCTTTCTGGTTGGTCTTTACCAGGTACAAATATTTAATACTGTGCTGTTTCCTCTGTTCCATTTGGCTCAGTTCAGACTTGAAATTACTAGGCCCTGACACCCTTGAACTGCAGTGATTTAGAAAACCCCAAACACACCTGGCTTTGGGGTTGTACTGTTCCCAGATCATAGGTCAGATTCTTACTCATGGGAAATGTCTCCACTGTTTGAGTCTAGCTGTTAGGCAACTTCTTCTCCTTTCACTAGGGTAACAAAAATTCACTGTATCACACTGTTTTTTGCCACCAAGTGATACTCATAAGCTGCTTTGATTTAGCTTCCCTTTGGACTCTCAGTGTTAACTGCAGCTTTGTTTCTTGTAAGACAGTGACAGGAACCTTGAAGACTTCTTTGTATGCCATTTCTAGACACAGAAAAGTCTTCTCTTAAGTTTTCCATAATCCAGACTAACGACTTAAGAAAAAGTCCTGTCTCACACAGAATGCTCAGCAGACACAGTAATCAGATATGTTAAAAGCACAAGCAACTGACATAAATTGCTGGTTACTTCTTTCAGCCCTTCTCATGGATGTTAAAAGTATTACCGAATTTCTTTTCAGATCCTGCTGGGGGTTTTACAGCTGGGCTTTGTGTCTGTCTACCTCTCAGAACCGCTCCTCAGTGGCTTTGTGACTGGCTCCAGCCTCACTATTATCACCTCCCAGATGAAGTATCTTCTGGGACTGAAAATCCCTCGTCATGAAGGAGTGGGATCCTTCATTTTGACATGGATTGACCTTTTCAGATACATCCAGAACACCAACATCTGTGATCTGGTGACCAGTCTGGTTGCTTTGGCCGTCATTGTGCCTGTTAAAGAGATCAATGACAGGTATAAAGATAAGATGAAGGCACCATTCCCTGTAGAACTGCTGGTGGTCATTGTAGCTACAGTTCTATCATACTACTTCAACTTTGAAGAGCGATACAAGTCTGCTGTTTGTGGGGACATCCCTACYGGCTTCAAGAAACCCATCCTACCAGATACAAAACTGTTTTCCACCCTAGCAGTTGATGCTTTGCCCATTGCTATTATTGGCTTTGCTATGACTGTCTCCTTGGCAGAAATCTTTGGCAAAAAGCATGGCTACCCTGTTCGTGCCAATCAAGAGATGGTTGCCATTGGCATGTGCAATTTGATCCCTTCTTTCTTCTACTGCTTTGCCAGCTCTGCAGCCCTGACTAAGACTCTGCTGAAGGAATCCACAGGGACCCAGACGCAGATCTCTGGCCTGGTCAGCTCCTTAGTGCTACTGCTAGTGCTCCTGTGGATTGCTCCACTGTTTTACTCACTGCAGACATCCATCTTGGGGATTGTCACCATCGTCAACTTGCGAGGTGGCCTGAGAAAGTTCTGTGACACTCGCCGAATGTGGCAATTGAGCAAGATGGACACATTGGTGTGGTGGATGACCATGCTAGCCTCCACACTGATCACTACAGAGATTGGGCTCCTTGTGGGTGTCTGTTTTGCTCTGCTTTGCATCATCTTCCGCACTCAGAGACCCAGGGCTACGCTTCTGGGCAAGGTCAGCAACTCAGAAATCTATGAGGACCAATCCACTTACAAGMAACTCATCAATATTGCCAACATCAAGATCTTTCGCTTTGAAGCATCCCTTTATTATGCTAACAAGGATTATTTCAAGACTGTTCTCTATCACAAAACTGGGATAAACCCTACTCTGCTATCTGCTAAGCATCGGAAGACWGAAGCACAGGCAAATGCTGACACAAGGAAGAACAAGAGCTTTTTCTGCCCCAGGTCTAACTGTCTGAAAGCTGACAAGAAAAAGTCCGAGAAATCTCCAGCAGATGTTTGTCTTCCTTCCATAGATATACACACCTTAATCATTGACTGTGGGGCTATGCAGTTCATAGATACAGTGGGTCTCTCTGTGCTAAATGAGATCCATTGTGACTATAAGAATATTGGTGTCCAGATACTCCTGGCCAATTGCAACCCTTCCATCCGCCACCTGCTCCAGAAGGGAGGCTGGGCTGGCAAGACAGCCTGTGGCAACCAATTGGCCTTCCACAGTGTCCACGATGCAGTGAAGTTTGCTGAAAGTTGGTACCATGTGCAGCAGGAGAGCAAGGAGAAAAACGATGCKCCTCTGGACCTGGAAGACTTGAGCTTCCAGGAATCTTTGTAGACCCATGTGCGAAGAATGGTTTCTCTTGGGGATGGGCTTGGTATTTACTTCAGAGCAACTTTAGGACATTCAGAGCACACACATAAGTCTTCCATGAACTACTAGAAGCAGGCCCTGGGTAAAAGGTTTGGGAAAGGTGTGGACTTCAGAAAAGACTGCTAACAAGTAAATAAACTGAGAGGTATGGGAGAGTCATTCAGATAAAAAGCTTAGATGGCTTTTAACTCTYCTTGTGCAGAGGCTAACTGGCATAAATGTGCTAGTCAAGGTTCACCATTCCTTTATGGAGGGCCACAAAGTGAAAAATTGGAAGTATGGAGGAACAGGAATGAAAATGTTCTGTGTATCTATCAGGATGGGAGAAATTTTCTAGGAACCAGAAGAGCCATGGCACGGTTTTCAGCACTGAGTTTGCACAATCATCTTCTGATTGTCTCCTGGCGAAGTTTGAGAGGGGAAATATGGCAGTTTGATACAAGTCTAAGCGATCAAGAGGCGTGCTGAGCRTGAGAGAAAGTTACAGGAAAGGAGATGAGAGAATGGCAGAAAAAAACAACGGTGTCAGCACAGATGGATGATCCTGGGCTGGAAGGACTTGTGCCACTCCTGGCCTGACCTTGAAAATTTGCTCCAAAGAGGCATCCCCAATCCCTCTTGGCAGTGAGCGTGGGCTGAGCCGCCATGCTCTGCACTTGAGTCTGGCACTCACAGCCATGGTGTGAGCTGTGACATYCTTTTCCTTGAAGCCACAAGATCTGCTCTGCTTCCTGGAATCACAACATGATTCCTCTCACTGGTCAGCAGAGCAGTGGGAAAATCCCTGCCCAGGCCAGGCCTGAGGGGCACCAGGAGTCTAAGCAGAGCCTGTCCTTGTGGTGATCCTGCCTGTCACTGGAGTACATCCTTTGAGGCATGTGCCCTCTCCCTTGGTGCCTCAGGTGCTGCCAGAGGCAGACCTCTTTCCTGATGGTCTGATATCGGTTTTCGGAAGGTGAGACTGCAGCGACAGGGGACTCCGGGCCTTCACAAGGAGCTTTTGTACAAGATGCCTGCATCCATTGCCTCTCCTCCCCGCTGCTGGATCATCACTTTGAGAATGAAATATGATAAATCATTTCCCGCTGCGCTGCCTGGTGTTTGCTTCTCTGTTCTGCACGAACATTTGTCACTGGGGGGCACGAGTGAGCTGTGCTGCAGAGCCTGGAGCCACGCTTCCCTCTCCTCTGCTCTGTCCCATCCCTGTCCTGGTCCGGTCCATAGGCCCTGTCCCTGGGCCCTCTCTCTGGGTCCTCTCCCTGTGCCCTGGGCCTGCTCCCTGTTATGTAGGGCCTCCCTCTAGTCACTCAAACAGACAATAATCCTAGTGTCAATATATTGCCTGAACCAGAAGAATTAGGGAAGAGGTGGGAGTAGGAAACATATCTTGTTCTTCAGTCTCCTGGAAATCGCATTGCGGAGAAATCCCAAGGCAGCACTGGGTCCCCAGGCCACTAGCCTGCCTCCTGAGAAGCACAGCAACAGGGTGGCTGTGGTATGAGCTAGCTTGCACTGGGACAAGSGGAGATCAGTCTGGTGGGTGATACTGGAGGCCTCCCCTTGGCCATGTTTGGGCCTGGTCTTCCCCTGTCCTAAGGCCTGCTGGCCCAGTAGGCAGGATCCCTGCCTTAGCTGTGCAGCACGGGGCACCAGGCCTGTTGTTTAAAACCACGTGCTTATTCCCTTACTTGCCCGTGTGCATTCCTCGTTTACTACCTTTATTTTGGGCTGAGCTCTCCCACACATTCATTTAGGAGTCAGGGAGGAAAACAGCTCACCCAGACTCATGCATCTCCCTAAAACCCTACAGCAAAGACCATGCCACAAGGGCCACCAAAAAAGAAAGAAAGAAAAAAAAAAAGCAACACCAAAGCACTTTCCTTAAAACAAAACAAAACAAACAAACAAAACCAAAGAAATTCAGAAAACTGCCCCGAGTTTGTYTGCAGCGCGAACAGTTTGTATGACACTCTGCTTCAGAGGAAGAGAAATGCCTTTCCCTGCTGCTCTTCACAGGCAGGATTCGCATGACTTTCAGCAGTGAAATTACAGATTCTTGCTAAAGAAAATGTTTCTAGGATCACTTGCTGCATTTTGTAGGTTGTAGATCATGGGTACTTATGCTTAGCGATGGTCACAATTTTCCCTGCATATAGTATATGCTGTGCTATCTTCCAAATACACAGCCGTCCAGATCATGACTACAGTCGGACACACTTTTCTTTAGTGAACTCCATCCGAAAAATAAATACCTTATATATTATGTATTCAATGTGACTATTTCCCTTGCTTCTTCTAAGAAATGGGGCACCAAAGATGACCAGCTGAATGGAACTCTGGTTTGGGGAACACAGTGATTGTGGAACATAAAGGATGTGGGAAAGGAAACCTATTGTGGGAAAGGAAACCTATTGTTTCTGCTCTGAAAAAACGTTCTTACTGTGATCATAAGCTCTTTTATAGGGATTAAAGGCTGTTGTATGCCGAGTTGCCTGCAGGTGCTCAGAGTTAGGTTGTGTCAGTATCAAAGTACGTGGACTGCAGGGGCCAGTACCAGCCTGGCAGTACTGAGCATGGCGTGGGCACAGGTAGCAAGGGGAGCTCGTGGAGCTTCAGCCCCTCTTTCTCAGGCTGGTCTTCCATGGCCATGGGAGCATGAGGCAATCCTGCAGGGATGTTGCATCATCCATTGAGCAGAAGGGCAAAGGGGCGATTTTTGTGTCTGCATAGAAGAGAATCAGCAAGTTGTTACCTGTGAGGATCATGAACCTTGCCTCCCTGTTGGAATAGCGTTGGCACCATTTCCCTCACAAGGTCATTTATGGGGAAATTATATTGTTTTAGTTAGACTTTAAATACATTTATGGTGCCAACAAGGTCACAAAGCTGCAGCAGGAAATAAAAACAGTGCTGATAATTCATGGGCATAGCCAGGCGCAAGATACACAGATGAGATTACTGTCAGAGAGGGGTTTCCCACAGCCATTGGCAGTGGAAAACAGTTGTTTATTTAAGCAATTCCTGCTCAGAGTCCAGGAGAACTGTGAAAATGCCAAACCACGGCAGGTTTTATGGGACACCTTCACTCCGTATGGGGAACTGGAAGTGTGGGGTGGCAGGGGCCTTGGAGCAGGAACTTAGCAAGACCTGAGGTAAATGACCCATGGAAGCTGGTGTTCATCCAGATTGTCCATAGACCTGAGCCTATGTGTTCCTGAGAATAGCTCTGCCATTAGTCACCCCATTCCCATAGCGCCACAGATATGTCAAGGACATATCCTCATGGCACTAATTTCTCTTTGTTTATAGCAGTTCTGGCAACAAGGGTTGGGCAAAGGTGAAAGGGAACATGGACCTGTCCACCTCTCTAACATTGATCATTTCATGATAAAGTCACAGAAGCTAATGAAGGGCTAGGAGGGCTGCAAAGGAAGGCTCTATATTACTAAGACAATAATTTATTATTTCACTATCATGGACACTAGCTCCACCTACCCGCATCTCCTTACAATTAGCTGAATTATTTCCTGTCGACCTAGTGGCAGATATGAGTCTGCAGAATTAATTTATTGGAGGAATTAATGAAGCATCCACTAGGCAAAACTGCAGGGCCAGTGTCTTACAGAAGTGGAGGGGCTGATCCTGAAAGTCCCTTATGACTTTGCCAGCTCAGTGTCTGCATGCAGTGGAATTGCAAAGCCAGTGAGGCTGGATGGTCCCTGTGTGTACTGGGAAGATGGAGGGTTTGAGGTAGGCATAGTGGACAGCCTTGCAGTGGCTGATAATGATGAGATGTCCTTAACAGAGAAATTAGTAACTCTCTGAACAAGCAGGATGTTCGTTATGGCAGATGATGAGCATGTTGAACTTCCAGTAACACGTAGAGAGACTCAGGGTTGTTCTGCACTTTTGAAACTATTAACAGAAAGTTGCCTTATCAGTCACCTAGAAAATGAGCAAACGGGTCTTGCTTGTGCTAAGCAGTTCCCTCTGCAGGAAGGAACCTGCTCTCCCTGATAGCTGCAGGAGCCCCAAACGTTTCTACCTGGGAAGCCTGTTGTCCCAGTGTCACAGTAGTAGCACATTCCCACCTGTTGTGATTGCTACCAGAGCAGGGTTAGCTCCGGGGCTTGAGGTGACCATTCTCTCCGCTAGAGATCGACAGATTTCTCCATGGGGAAACATGGGGAAACGTAAGGACTGCTTCAGTCCAGGAGCATCTGGGATTTCTCTGACGATTCTTGCACAGGCTGGTTTCCCAAACCTTCCAACCCAATCAGCTCTAGCATCGTTTTCCGGCTATGCAGCCCCATGAGTCACACACCCTTATGACCTGTGCACACCACTACTCTCTTCCCAATGATCTCCAGATCATTTTGATACCAGATCATGTTAAAAAGTCCTGAATTGTAAATGTCAGAGGAGGGACTTGGCGGAAGGACATAGAGCAGTCCAAAGTTGCCTTATCAGTTTCTCAGGAAGTCAGGTTGGCCTCACCTGCTGCACCTCCTGTCAGAGACTGATATGGGAAAGGTTTGATCACAGCCATCCTGTTCTTGGTGAAGAAAAACGCTTGCCTTCTGCATCCAGACATGGATATCCCAGTCCCTGCAGGGGCCCAAGGGCCTCTTTTGCTGCTGGCTTTGGCAAAGCTGCTGGGTAAAAGATGGTGGCTGAAAGAGATGTTCATGGAGAACCTTCTTCGCAGCCCTCTTGAAGGATGTACATTTTTGGCAATATCTCAGTCCTGGGAGTATGTAGCACCATCTCTATCATCAAGTTCATTTTGCACCTTAGAAAATCAGTGCAGGTATGTTAGCCATGGGCGATCAGTAGCCTGTGCAGAAGTGCACAAAGAACCGGTCCCTGGAACTGCTCTGACACTCACCAGCCAAACTGGGATCTCCTGTTGTCCCTCAGAGAGGGAACCATCCCATTTCCCTCCCAGCAGGACCCTGTCATTC